AACATTTATTAACTCTGCGACAACTCTTGTTAGGTCATGGATGGCATGTATTACTTCCCGGTGCTCCCGACGCTGTTCCTCTTCACGATGTTGCCTGTGTTCTTCAGCAGCATTCCTCTTTGCTATGTTAGCAATAAGAGTACTAATTAGCTTATTGCGATCTCCTCGCGATGGCCGTGATGTCCTGGCATCCGAATCGGTGTCTACTAGGTCTAGGCAGTCTACTTTCAGTAGATGATATTGGACACTCAATTATCGATGATTCTACAATTTGTTTTCGCGGTAGCCCTAAACCAAAGCTTTCAATAGTTTCCACYCCATCCACAGCTACTGATCCAAAAGCTGCCAAAGATTTTTGCTCGAAATCGGTCAACGGCTTGCCACAGGGCCCTCCTCCAGTGAGCCTCTGCTCCATTTTTAAGCGTCTTTCCCGCGTACGTAGTTGGCTCTTCCAAACACCCATTGTCTGTAAATCAAAATCATTTAACAAATGTAGAAAATATCTGACGAATTACCTTTTTCCACTTAGCTGCAGTACGAGATGGGRCTCTGCACGCATTTAACTACTCCGCCAGCTGCCGCCACAAATCCTTCATTTATCGAGGCGATTTTGGCGTATTTTTTCCTCTGCCGCGGATGCGCCCTGCAAAATGAAACATAACATTTCTAATTGTTCGTGCGTAGCACGTTGCTTTTTTGGTTTCCTATAAATTGAATTAAATATTAAACCATTTATTTCTTTAAAATTAACAATTAATAATAATGAATACTTACGTTGTTGAAGAATCGATTTGGCACTAAACACTGATTTCTGTTTACATTATTTTGTTCACCACAGTATGGTGAAAAGCGATTCGCACTGAAGCTTTAAGTTTTATCAATATTTGCACAGAATAACAAAAAGCTTTTGGCTTGATAAAAATCTTGATAAATAAACAATATTTTGATAATTTGTTAAGTGCACAGAATCGGTCTGTTAGTATACGATTTTATTAGCTCCGTTATAGAATTAGTTAGGCCTTGAATGGCCTGCATCATTTCACGATGCTCCCGTCGCCTCTCCTCTTCAGCAGCATTCCTTTTTGGTATGTCAGCTATTAAAGTGCTGATGAGCTTATTTCGCGCACTTCGTGTTAGCACCGAAGTTGAAGCATCCTTAAAGGAAAAAACGTATTAAGAAATTACAAAAAAAATGTACCTATATATTATGTAATTATATCATAATGAAAACTTACCTGGTTTTCCCAGCTGAGATATGTAGTTGGAGTGGATGGACTTGCTGGATGGTGTTCGGGATTTGTGGTTGCTTCTACCTGTCTGCTTAATTGCAGAGGACTACTGGTGGGTGATGTAATTGCACTTTCAACCGTTTGCTCAATTGGCGTTAAACCAAGGCTTTGTACATTTTGTATCCCATCTACAGCAGCCGAACCAAATGTAGACAAAGCCATTTCTTCAAAGTCCGTCATCTGCTTGGAACTTTGACCTCCACCTGTGAGCCTTTCATTTATTTTCAACCGCCTTGMACGAGTGCGCAGTTGGCTTTTCCAAACGCCTAACGTCTACAAATTAACACAATATAATAAATATACGAAACGTAAACTAAAATGTTACCTCTTTCCATTTTGCAGTACTTCGTATTGGTCCTCTGCACGAATTAAGCTTATCTGCCAGCTGCTGCCACAGCTCCTTCATTTGTTGAGGCGTTTTTGGGCAATTTTTCCCCGTACCCACTTCTGGGTGTGCTTGGCAAAATAAAACATATGCCTCCAGTTGCTCGTGTGTAGTTCTATCGTGTTTGGGTTTACTATCAAATAAAGTTAAATTATAAATTTTGTTAATAAATAAAATTTGAAAACTTACGTTGCAGAACAGTCCATTTTCAGGAATAATTTGAATAAAAATCAGCTGTTTTCTATTTACATTATTTTGTTCACCACACATGTGGGGAAAAGCTTTACGAGTTGAAGCTTTTACTTTTATCAAGATTGCCACAGAATACCAAAATATTTCTCGCTTGATAAATATTTGAGTTAATTTTCAATATTTTATTAATTTGTCAAGTGCACAGAATAGGGGTGTTAATCTTCGTTCGTGTTCTCTGATTGGTCTTCTATCAGCACGAATCACGATTTTATGATCATCAGACGGCATCTGATCAAGTGCTGTCCGAAAAGTATTAATCAAATAATCAAGTTTATGAAACAATGTGTGAATTGCAAACGTATTATTATTCTTCTGGCACTTGTGAATATTGAACAACGGGCATCTACTTMATTTTCAGTATTGCCAAGGAAGTAGATGTGCAAGAACTGGTGGTTTGCATCTGGATATGGCAATAATGAACCAATCCTATTATACATTTGCTCTTGTATCTGAAATTGAAAGGCAAAATACGATTGATTAGAACTTGTGAAAAGTTCTGAAATGTCGCTGTATGCTTCATTCGACATACCCAGAGCCGAAATTACCTTAAATGTCGGCATAAATCATTTCGTATTATATTCGTCGCTCCAAAGGAAGTAATTCTAAAGCAAATTACACATTTGGATATTATCCAAAAAAATTTTTCGATTGCGGCGTTGTTCCTGAAATTAATGTTGCCAATGGTTTCGGTCTGTAATATAATTCGGGTAATCTTACTTTGCCACTTTCACAACATATTCCAGGTGTTTCATTATGAATTTTCAGTACATTACAATGTTTACATACTTTGTTCATTCCACCAATCACCACAAACTTATGCAAAATGTAATCAATTGTGTGATTATCTTCTGAAAATGTGACAAAATTTAATTAAAAATTGGCCAAAAAATCCAAGTAMTTTTTAGCTCACTTATCGGATATTAAAAAAAAATTCACTCATTTTTTAAATTTTTTTCACAAAATATCAAATTTGAGATTATGTCACAAAATCATATGATGATGCACTTGTAACAATCAGAACACTTGTTTAGCAAAACAATCGATTTTTATGTCATTAATCATTGGTTTTTTTTTTAGTTTTTTTTAACAAAATATTCAAATTAAAACGATGATTAGAACGAAAATTAATTTATTTTTATCAAAATACTCATCAAAAAATGAGAAGAAATTAATATTTTCAAAAATCGATTATGATAAGATCAATCACCAATGACGTTCAAAGAGAAAAAACGAAATGTTAACAAATTGCTATTTGCATCACTCCGTATAATACTCTCCAATACACAAACGACCAAAATGTTCGGCGACATACATATACGGACTTATTTTAATATACATACATATACAGATTTATTACATGAAAATATTAATTTCTGGGAGGTTSACTGGAAATTGTGAAACAAAATATTTCGTTTTTTAAATATTGACAACCGGGATTCAGCACCAATTTTTCGCAACAAACCTTGTATCATTATACTCGCAATAAAATTATCTTTATTTTGATAGAAGTTTTATTGCATATGTAGATAGTTGCAAATCACTATTGTCAATTTACTTGTATGTACCTGCCTACCTAATAATTGCACCGGGAAAAAGAAGACAACCCAGTGTTTGCATATTCTATAAGCTATATACTTGCGATTAGTATACAATTTATTGCGTAGGAGAGTGCGTGTAATGTTTAAAAAAAAACAATATTTTTTTAATTATTAATTAATTACACTTAGCATCACAATTTCCAGTCAAGCTCCTCGAAATTAATATTTTTATGTAATAAGTTTTACATACAAATTATTTTTATCCCGTAATACGGTGGGTGATGATCGTACTATGGTGGGAACTCTTACTAAAATTATATCACGTCTGGGCTGGTAAGTCATTTATACTTAATCTTGAGCTCCTGGTCACACGCAATGACGATCGTGATAGTTGGTTTGGGGGAACCGAAAGTTTCAATGCATGTTTCGCGCTTCGTTTCCCTATTCGTACGTCTGGAATTCATAGGTCGCGTTGGATGTTCTCATTTCGGATATACCGCGGTGCTCCGGTGATTGTACGAAGAATTTTTGAATGCCTTTAACTTAAGGTAAGTTCTTTTAACCTCTATGTGGTTTCGCCAAGTARGTCGCTTATCCAGATGGACCTATAGGTAAGTAACATGATTGCTTTGTGGTATTTGTACGTTGTTCAGTGTCAAAGGCGAACGTGCTTACACTTTTGCTCATTAACCTTTATCCTCCAGTTTGCGAGCCAATTGGCCCCACCTTCAATATGATTTCCTACCAGGGCATTTGCATGAATTGGGCACTTGGAGCGGCTGATTATTGCAGTGTCATCGGCAAAATTAGACATAGTCAAGCGGTCGTTTATCGGGATATCTGAAGTGTATAAAATATATATCATTGGGCCAAGAGCACGGCCTTGTGGTACACCAGCTCAATGGTTCGGGCTTCAGATGTAGTGGTGTTACATCGAACTACAAAATTTCGGTCATAAAGATAAGACTTCAACAGTTCGTGGATGTTTTGCGGGAGTAGCGTTTTTATTTTGTACATAAGACCAACTAGTAATGCTCGATCAAAAGGCTGCGCGACATCAAGAAGTACTGCAGAGCAATATTCCCGTTTTTCAAAAGCAGTTCGAATTTCATATGTGATCCTATGTACTTGCTCGATCGTTCCATGCTTTTCCCTGAAAAATTGGTATTATTATATGGTATTATGTTGTGGGTGTGAAGATGTAGCTTAATGAGAAGCATAAGAAGTCTTTCAAATAATTTCGACATGCAAGATAACAACCTGATGGGCCTATAGGAGGATGGCTGCATTTTGTCAGCCATCAGTACAGTTGACTTCTTCCATTCTTGAGGAAAGTGAGTTTGTTTTGTGATTGCATTGAAAAACGTACAGATACAGATTATAGCACAATTTGGTAGCTCAATAATCATTTTTGGAGTAATTAAGTCGTGCCCAGGAGCTTTGCTTGGTTTCAATTTCTCCATAATTATTTTTGATATCTCTTCAGTTACGAATTTCAGGAGCTATGCTTGGTTTCAATTTCTCCATTATTATTTTTGATATCTCTTCAGGTACGAATTTCACTGGCTCAGATTCCATCAAATAGGGTACGCTTGGAATTGTAAAGTCATTAGTTTCTGGGTTTGGCTGGAAGACATTTTTTATATGAGCTGCGTAGGTTGCTGACTTTTCTGCATCCGAGCCCATTTGCCGTTATTGTCACGTATTGGCATTTCACACTCTATTGGCGCACTTGGAGTTTGGTGTGCTTTCCACGACGGGTGCTTTGTACTAGTCGGTGACAGCTTTTGAAAATACTGGTACTGCGCACGCTATTCCTCGCTTCTTAGGGCTCTCGTCAGTGCATGTGTGGCCGCTTTCAACAGCTGTTTTGAGGCTGGTGATCTATGAACCTGCCACTCCCTTCGTAGGCTTCGTTTTTGTAATACTAGTATTTCAATTTCCCTATTAGTTAAGCTATGCTCTTTGTTTTCCATATAACCTCTTTGATGAGTTGAAATTTTGGCGGCTGTTGTAATGGTTGATTAAAATCCTGCGATGGTGTTTTCAATATCTACCGGTGTATCTAAAGTTGGTTCAAATTCTATGTGTTTGCTAATGTATTTTTTTTACTTTAACCGGTTTGTAGCTTTTGACGTGAGCATATAGGGTAGCTCTTTATGGTGTGACTCATGCCGCAAAGTGAAGAGAACTGGTGAGTGGTCTGATGAGAGGTCTGCTCTAGTTTCGGCAGTAATAAGGCTGTGAGTAATTTTCCTAGTTACTGCGAAGTCAATTACATCTGCCATCTTTTTCGGGTCTGCCGGCCAATATATAGGCTTTCCAGGAATCACGTAGTCCAGTTTGTTTCTTTTACCTATAAGGGCGTTATACAATTGCTGGTATTTAGGGTTACATTACCGGGAACCCCACTGAGGATGTTCGCATTATAATCACCTGCAGCAAGAAAGCACTCTCCCAGTGAGTGGAAGAAATCTATAAATCTGCAAGAAGCATTATATCAAGTTGAGAAATTTTGACAGCTCTAGTTTATGACGAGGTAAGCCATTTGCATTCCATAAAACAATTTTAAGAGAGCTTATTATTTTGAACTTTGGTTAGCAAGCAGTTGCAGCAGTGTGTTTTGATTTCGCATGAGTTCTTGCATTGTGTTCTGCATTAATGTTATGAATCATGCTATGTAGCATGGGCGCTATCATTGCTTCGATATTCGATTGACTTCCGGATTGAACGTAAGGCTGCTGTCCTTACGGCTCAATAAGACTCGCTGTTACTGTAGTTGTGGGTTTTCCCACGCCAGATTTTAGATTGGAGGTTAACACATTCATTACATTATGATTGCGTTCGAAAACTACACGTTGGTTGATCCGATTTTTAAGCTCCTTGTAGACAGGACATCTTCTGTAGTTTGCTGTGTGGTTTCCACTACAGTTTCCAGACTTTTTTGCATTTGGATCTTTTTTGTTTAACGTCCAAGTGGTAAAGTCGTGCAACTCTCCACAAGCTACACACACTGCGCGAAGTGAGCTCCTTTTATTAATCGGATGTGCGCTTGAGTAGATGCAATAAGAGCGAATTTTGCTTTTTGTAASTCTAGGTGCGTCATTGTACCGCTTTGGGGGTATATTTGGTACTCCCTTATTTTAACTCGAGAGAACGATGGAAATCGCTCAAGGATGTCAGTATGATACAATGTTTCATTTATTTATTTATTTAGTATGGCGAATACAATCTCGGAATTAGACTACAGATATAATTTATATTTTGCGATGTTTACTTCTGTTCTTCATGTTTAGCATACTGACTTAGTGTTTTTAACCAATTTGTGGAGTGTTCGAATAGCTAAGTGTGGGACACCGCCAAAGGTCACTTTAGCTTTTAGTCGCGTAGTGGACTATTGGGGGATTTTCGGAAAATAATTCACTGAAAATCTTGATCATCTTTATGTACGACTGTTTGTCTATTAATTTTTTCGACGTCCCCTTTGAAGACGTATTTAAATATACGCTAGTTTCAAATAAGCAGCTTAAATCTGGTTGGAGCGTTCGTCCCGTAAATAAGATATCATTTAAGGAATTCTCTCAACTAGACAAAATGAGTAGTATTTGCCGTTGATGATTTTTCGCATGGACTTCCTTCCTCCTTCTGATATAAATGGAGGTATACTTCCAACACACCATCATATTCTGGTTTGAGCTCACTTTCTTTTTTTCTAATTCCCAAAATTTTCTCATTTGTAAATTGGGGTACTCGTTTGAGATATCCTCAACTTAAGATATCATTGTGGTAACTGGTTCCATAACTAGTTCACTTAGGATCCAATCGAAAATAGTATGGCACCAAATACTATATAGAGATTTCGAAACTTTCTCAACACCTTCGAGAATTATATGAGGTATGAGATCGCTGCCTAATGGAAAATCTATTTCATTGGGGTGTTGCAGTTGGAATTTGCTAACTTATGGTGTGAAACCTTTTCCCAATGCTTGTTATTTATTTGGTAGCTTGGAAGCATAGTTGTTAGTTGCGGTAAGACTATAGCTTCTGCTTGAATTCTTTTATCCGCTTGGGGGAAATTAGTATAGAACTTTGAACCACTTTTCCGCCCATTACCGTAATTTCAAAGTTGGCTTGTTTTGTTGGCAGTTGTAGCCTATGTTGTGATCCCTGAGCTTGTATAGTTCTCCGTATTATAATAGTTTCCAGTTGACTGTAAGTCTATTCGTCCATCCGATCGAGCTGTAACTTGAGTAAAAATTGAGATTTATGAAACTTGGTATGCAGGTTTCTGAGTATAAAGAAAAGTTCGAGTTCGTAGATGGGCGTAATCGGATTACTCACAAACCGCCATTAACCGAAAACCTATAAACTTCCATACTAAACGCGCCAGAGACGCAAAAATTTGCTTCTTGAATTGTCATATAATTAAGCTTTAAAGGGAACAGGGTACAAATTGGACGATGGACGTGACACCGCCTACTTTTTGATGAAATCCCATGTCTCGGTACCCAACTGACCGATTTTGATTTGTAAGTGGTATCTATTTCATATTTCTATGACTTGGTGTGAAAATGAGCGAAATCGGACAAAAACCACACCTACCTCCCATATAGCATAATTTTAAATTCAACTTGATTCTTTTACCTTCCAATATATAAACCAAGAAGCAATTAATATAATGGGCTTATACTTTCAACGAATAATATCTTTAGTGTATGATCAAAAATTTTTCAAATCCAACAGAAACTGTTCAAGCCCCTGGATGCTGAATATTATATTTGGATCCCGTAAAAATTTTTGACTTTTGATTGATCGGTCAATGTGAGAGATATATTCAGGGATAGTACTTTTCTGACAATGGTATGTCTGTATATTAAAAATTGCTTGAATCAGCTCTATACTTCCCTGAACCCCCATATACCTAATATAAAGATTTTCAAACTTCCACGTGTAACAAAATCGAAAAATATTATTTGGAGCGAAAACTAATGGACTCCC